CAGTAATTGTCTAGTAAATTTTATTTAACATTAACTCTTAGTCTCTAAATATATATGATTTGAATAGAAACAATAACTCTATTCATACTGAAAAAGAAATTCAGGAAATCTATACTTGCTTCATTTGTAGTTTTTGCATTACAGAAAGGGCTGAGCAGAAGGGAAAATAATGTGGTTCAGTGATTTTGATGCTACTGGATGGTGTTAGCTGTTTCTTCAGGAAAAATATTTAAACTGAATCTATTTATACTTCCCTACATAACTTTGCATAAATAGGTGTGACAGTATTTCACATACACAGAAAGGGTTTGGGCTGAAACATTTTTAAATGTTTTCCATAAATCTCAAATCTTAATCAAATAAAGCACTCCTATATGTAAAGTGTTTGGATTTGAAGAATCCATTAGACATGTGTGTGTTCAAAGCCAACAATGCCTTACCAGAAAGTATTGTGTAAACATAAACTTGATTTTACATATTTCAACATGTGAACACGAGGAAGTAACTATATCCTGTGTTCCATGTATAATGTATACCTGACAGACTTTAACGAGACATATAAATTTTCACAAGTCACTTAGAAGTCACTTTCACTTATAAGGAAATGATTATTAGTCTGAATAATAATTACGTTATAAGAACAAGTTGTCCCTTTATTAAAAGATTGACATCTTTGTGTGGACTGTTTTCTCATCTTATGACTTCCCTGGTGTGAGGTTAGAAATACTGTAATCGTATATATTTTCACGGGATGCAATTTTTGCCAAAAGTTCACAAAAGACCTGTTAGTGCAGTTGTTTTTTTGCGCATTTCAAACACCTGAGTGATGGCATCCATCACAAAGTTTTCACAACCGATAGACATGCAATGATCAAAGCTAGCCGCCATAACTGAATCGTGTTTACAAAAACATTCACCGAGAGAGGTGGGATTATACTTGTGTCAACGTGACAACACCTGTCCCATATGCAAGATCAACTGACAACGATCTATTACTATTATATATGCCTCTATTCCTTTATATATTGTTTTGATGTTGTTATCTGAGAGAATACATTCCTACTTGAGTATTTGTCATGACTTGACCATGAATATTGACGCACAATCTTTTTGTGCTAAAAGCGCGAAAACTAATCCCACGCAACAATAACTACGATTACAGTACTGTACATCCTTAGATTTATCATTCAGACGAGTCTTGGAGTAAAGCTAGGATACATTGTGTATAGTGCCTGTAGGATTGTGATGCATGCTTTTGGTGCATGAAAACCTGGCTCTCATCATGTTAAGGTGCCATAAATCATCATCCAATGTCTCTGTGGCTTGACAGAATATGGAGCTTGAATCAATAAATTACCGACAGTAACTTGAGGACTCTTTTTAGAAACTGTAAATGGTCTCAACAATTCTCTGAAATAGCATGTGACATTATCATGATTTTATGAATCAGTGAACCTCATGTACATAAGCCCTGTGGGGATTCCAAAATCTCGTTCCGGACGGCAACTATAACGCTATGGTTACTGTAAGTCAGTGTTAATGTAGGGGAGTTGTGATCACCTTAACGCTAAGATCGCTGTGGATTAGGTTTCATATTAGAATTGGTCCTCAGCAATATAAGCTTGTTGTATGAGGCAGCATAGTTGATTGGGTTGTTAGACTAAGAAACAGCTGCCTATTGTTTCTATTTATATTGTTTAACCCGTTTGAGTAACTGCCCTTTACTAAAGGGAAGCTACTCTATGAGATGTCACTTTTGTTTAGAGTATGCTTGTCCTCTCAGAACATTATGAAATGCAGAATCCGATGTGTAAACAGCAACTAAATGATGCAAAGTAACTATTGGCCAAGTTGACTGTTTGACATTGGCTGAAAGACCCTAAGATGCAGAAGTCTTCAATCATAGATATGGAAACAAATCCACTCGGTAACTAGCTTAACTGTTTTGCAGTTTATGGTGACAAAACCTGTTGTACAATGCCTCAGCTACATCACAATTTAGCACTAATTTTAAGTGACTGGTATTGTTGTTTTAATCATGATAACATAGTTATCCCCTGCAACACGTTTTGCGGGGGTATTAAAATGGACTCAATGCTCCGTCCGTGCACATTTGTCTTTTCCGGAGCAGAACTCTAAAGCCGTTCAATATTTCTTCACCAAACTTGGCACATGGATAGATCTGGTGGTGTACTGGTGCCTTTTGGTAGTTTTGGAATTCTGAATGAAATATTTTTGGCGTTTCCATGGCAACAAGTTTGACTTAAACTGAAATTAGTGGTAGTGCTCTTTGCCAGAGCATAACTCTAAAACCGTTCAATATTTCTTCACCAAACTTGGCACGTACATAGATCTGGTGGTGTACTGGTGCCTTTTGGTAGTTTTGGAATTCTGAATAAAATATTTTTGGCGTTTTCATGGCAACAAGTTTGACTTAGACTGAAATTAGTGGTTGTGCTCTTTTCCGGAGCAGAACTCTAAAACCGTTCACTATTTCTTCACCAAACTTGGCACATTCTTAGATCTGGTGGTGTACTGGTGCCTTTTGGTAGTTTTGAATTTCTGAATAAAATATTTTTTGGCATTTCCATGGCAACAAGTTTGACTTAGACTGAAATTAGTGGTAGTGCTCTTTTCTGGAGCAGAACTCTAAAACCATTAAATGTTTCTTCACCAAACTTGGCACATACATAGATCTGGTGGTGTACTGGTGCCTTTTGGTAGTTTTGGATTCTGAATGAAATATTTTTGGCATTTCCATGGCAACAAGTTTGACTTAGACTGAAATTGGTGATAGTGCTCCTTTCTGGAGCAGAACTTTAAAAACCTTTCAATACTCTCCTTCCACTTTTCTATACAGTGGACTCTGTCAATACTGGCCTCTCTTAACACCGGCACTCTGTCTACATCGGCACAAAGTTTCAGTCCCGGCAGAAATGCACGTTATTATCATTTAGAAACTTCTGTAAACATCGGCATCTGTCTATTCAGGATATCGGCATTGTTTTTCAGTCCCAACGAACAAGTTGTTATGAAAACGAATCTGTAAAAACCGGCACATGAAAGACAACGTAACCCTTTGATGCAATTAGGTCCAAATGATGTAACAACACAATTCGCTCTGACTCCCGAGATTATTCAGAAACGGGAAGTGTTAATCAGTATCTTGTTAATCTGTGAGTGGTACGTGCGTAACACTTACCCAGAGTAATTAATACATATAGTGGGCAGTTTGACTGTATAAACAAGCAAGTGTTTACATTTTGTTGATTCGCTGGTATTGACTCCCGAGATTATTCAGAAACGGGAAGTGTCAATCAGTTTCTTGTTAATTAGTGAGTGGCACGTGTCACTTACATAGAGGCTGAATCGTTTGATGGCGTGTATCGTTCGAAAGCTCTGAACATCAACAATATCACTGTACTCTTGCCGAGTATTTTCACATTTGTAAGAAGCGATTTTATTGGATAAAGATTGGTTTCTAACGGCGGCTTTTTCACTACACTCTGCTTATAAGGGTCGTGATTGGTCAAAATCAGACCGCGTGACCTAAGCAGCCAATCATATTATGGAAATGGATACCGTCCCTCGTGAAACGAAAAGTTTTAGATTAAGACAAAAGTTTTGGGTAAATAACGCTATTCTGAACATATTAAGAAAGACATAAGCTACCTATCGTAAAATCATGGAACGTATTGGACATATCGTGCTAGGTTATGGCCTATGACAAAATGCTTCACGATATATTTTCACATTAAGCATTGTGTGAAAGCCGAGATGTAACTTGTCAGTGACTTGACTTACATTGCATGATCGCTCAAAGAATGGAAATAGTAATTTTATATGTACGTTTGACAACTTTTATGAATGTTATTGTTGATTTCAATTTATTTAATGATTTCCTCGATGTTTGAAACATCTTTACTTTGCTCTTTGACAATGCTATTGTAGACCAGCTGCGAAGCATAAACAAGAATCGTTGTTTGCAATAACATTGCGAAAAATAGTTTATAATTTTAATTCTGCCGATAATATATGATCAGTTGAAATTTAATAAGAGATTTCAGACATTTTTATTTGATTTAAACAACATGAATGTGCATTCAGACACTGCCTTGTTTCTTATTCAAACATCTTGTTAATGCTAACGTGACAGTACGACAGCGAACTTCCGTGTGCGCAGGCGTCATAAGCGAACCTAGCTAAACCGGCACTCTGTCAAAACCGGCATTTTTACTTGGTCCCGACTGATGCCGGTATTGACAGAGTACACTGTATACACACCTAAATATTTGACATAATCATAACTCATAGACATAATCATGAAGAGTATTTGCCATTGAGGGGGATATTGATGACTTTGTCTTCTTGTTATCCCAGTAATTTATCCCCCTCAACGCGAGCAGAACTCTAAAACCGTTCAATATTTCTTCACCAAACTTGGCACATACATAGATCTGGTGGTGTACTGGTGCCTTTTGGTAGTTTTGGAATTCTGAATAAAATATTTTTGGCATTTCCATGGCAACAAGTTTGACTTAGACTGAAATTGGTGATAGTGCTCCTTTCTGGAGCAGAACTTTAAAAACCTTTCAATGCTCTCCTCCCACTTTTCTATATACACACCTAAATATTTGACATAATCATAACTCGTAGACATAATCATGAAGAGTATTTTGCCATTGCGGGGGATATTGATGACTTTGTCTTCTTGTTTCTTCTGATTTCCACTTGTGAATTTTGACAAGGACAAAATCACTGCAAGTAGTACCTACCTAACCTTCATATTTGCGACTTTTGAGTGTATTACCACCATGGATACAGGTTTAATCCACTGGCAGTATGCTGCCTAGAAACTTGCGCATCATATGATAAAGTCAGGGATCTAACACACAACCATATTGTATTGATGATGCAACACTTGGGGCACCTAATGTCACAGTGCACAATGCTTCAAGAAATGGTTACAGTCCTGGTATATCAAGTGTTTCTGTTGCCAGGTAACCTTCCCCCTCACCTGTATGGCAGCACCAGCTTCGGCGAGAATATCGACGACGAATGGTTGATCGTGTACCTCTTGTTCAGGCTGTCCAGGGCGTACCCAAACCTTGTCATCAAGTAAGTCATTCTCGTTCAATTATGACATGTTAATAGATAAATGTTTCCTCGATGATAGGAAATGGTGTGACTATTTTCCACATGGTCAGAGTGCTTGATCATGAGTTATAACGATCATATTCCTGTGTTTTGTGGTTCACCAAAATGGTAAATGTCTGAGGCCAGCATCTCTTCAGGTTTTCATCCCATATTAAGCTGACATGTCGTGATATAACTGGAATGCTGTTCAAATAGATGTTAGACATAACTCATGAACACAATTGTAGCACCTCCATCATTTTGAGAAATGTCCTGGTTGTCAGGTCCACACCTGAACATAGAAATTCAGAAGTAAATAAAACCAGATCATTACTTCAGCATCCCTTGAAGTTCATGTTATTCTGTTACACAGTTCGAGACTAATAAAATGGGACAAGAGGACAAGGAAATATCATTGGTGTAGTTATCATCAGCTAGTGGAATTTGAGGGCTGTAGTTCCAAACCAGTATTCAATGTTTCTTTTTTGCTGGATGAGTGAAAAAAATGTTTACACTAGGCAGCTGGACTAGTCTTGAACAAATACAAATTTGTAATGGTGAATCAGGTGTAATGCCATTCTCAGAGCATGCTGACATTGCTATGGGTTTGCAGCGATGACTAATTAGTTGTTTGCATGGTAAAATATTTTATATTTTGGATTACACTTTGTTAGTGAAGTACAAATTCAAGTACAAATTCAAGAGTCCCATCTTGGATACCAACCCACATTTTCAGAGTGACCAAACTCACTCAGCCACTGCACCTTACACTTCCCTGCACACAAAGTCAGTGATGTAATCCATTGCCACTGAAGCTTCCATAAAATGGAAATCTGACAACTGGTAGTCTAGATCACATAATTTGTGTATCCCTCTGACAAGTGTAAATTGGAACACCTCCCATGTTCAAAATTATAAATAGACAACACCTTCAGAAGCTAAGTATAAACCTAAATATAACATATGTCACATTTGACCACTCTCTAAACGCCATTGCCCATGCAAGTGAAGTTAATAGAAAGTTTAAATATGTGCAGTGCGAATAAGCTTTTGACAGCTGTGCAGTCCATGTGTACCAAACCCAGATTCCTAAAACATTCTGTTCATATAAAACCCTTTTAATTTCAGTTCTATATTTATCTGAGCATTTCAGCATGCTTAATAGAGAACACACATGCTTATTCAAATATTTCAAGGAAAGCACTTGTTTGATCTGTTGGAAGAAAGCCTCATTATGGCGCCAAGGACGTAACTGTGGCAAGCTGACATGGTCAACTGTTTACATGTGTAAAAGTGCTCATGAAGCATATCTTAAGTGAACTGGGGAACCGTGAGCCACTAATCTTTTTCATGTTTCCATGAAAAGGATTGAGGCAGTTCTTTGTCAACCATCTGGTCTGAATGATGACTCTTTATGTGTGAGATTGTATGCACTCATATTTACTGTATAAATATAGATTGTATGAATGCTGGAAGGGTTAATGTCACTCTTTGTATTATATTTATTTGGGATTCTATTATGTCAGTTCAGTCTTTGTTGGCATATTTAAACAAATTGAATTGAAGATTTGTGCCTTAAGTATCATGATGACAGTGCTAAATGTGTGAATTTGTCTTCTTTCAATGTTCCAAAAAATGTCAGTTTTCATTTCACCAAGTTGGGTTTTTTCATACTGTTTCAGTATATGTTTTATGTTTTGCCTTGATATTTGAAAAGATGAGATGTGATAAAGGGATCATGTATTTGATAACAATTATGTTCAGATAATCTTCATATGTGAAGTGACCTTGTTGAACCTTGCAGGTGCTTGGTGCGGGGATGGTGTAGGTGTGTGGTAAGAAGCAGGCAGGCATGAAGTCAGCTATAACTATAGCCTCTGTACTGAGGGCCAGGGAATTACAGTCCACAGAGTCTGTGTCGCTGTAGATGTAAATCTGACAAAGATCAGTCAATGGTCCTAATCCCTGGTAATTATGGTCCTATAATACCATGCTTGTCTCCTTGTGAGAATTCAGGGGCAGAGTATTTCCCCAGTGCCTTATGCTTGTCAACTGGCATTCATGGTAGGTCAGGTCGTTCACTTCGTACCCTATGGTTTTCTCCCTGAAAGAGCATGGTGGATAGCTTAGTGGTTAAAGTGTTTGCTTGTCATGAAAGGTGAGGTGAGGTGGATAGAATGTGTGGAGCCCTTTCCTTGTGTTCCCAACTCTGATATCGCTGGAATGTTGCTAAAATGGTGTCAAAGGCAAGCTTGCTTGGCACTCATTCTCTCACTCTTCTACTCACTCTTTCACTCACTCATACTTTCACTCATTCATACTTTCACTCTCACTCACTCATTCACTCTTGGAAAGCTTTTGTATGTACAGGACAAAATGTACATGCCAAGTGTAATATATATCACGTACATTTGTGATGTCGAGATAGTTACAAACTTTATAAAGATGTCAGCCCTGTATAATGGTAAATTCAAGCACACTGTTCTCATGACAATAATACGTATATGCAGTTGCGATGATTACATAATGATGATGTGTTTTTTATGCCTTTGGGGTTTGAAACTAGGTCACTTCTGTCTGATCATTAGTTATATATAGTGCTCACATTCCCTTTGTGAGCTGACAGATAATGACATAACCGCTACAACAGGTTGGCCTGTTATCTATGGGTTTAGTATGCATGGAACTGTGAGGGCTGTGGTTATCACTGGTCTCAGCAGTAATGTATGGGGAGGCATGATCCATGTGTGTAGTTATTAACATGATTACATTCAGTTCTTGGCTGCAGAGTTATGTTGGAGGGTTAGGTTTTAGGCTTGTCAACTGTTGGGTTGTTGATCTCATAGCAACATTGCAAGAAGTACTAGTTTTTGAGGAGTTTTTTTAATTATGAAACCTGCTTGGGCTTTTACATTGGAATTGTATTAACAATTTTTAAATATCTATGCTTTGTTTAGTTTTGGTTAAAAGTCACTATATTTCTTCATGGTTTAAGTCCATGATGTGAATCAAACCAGCATCTTCACGTGTCATGTTTGTATTGTAACCTGCTGTTTTCTCACTGTACCTTTGGGGCAGGTGATGAGAGAGAGAGAGTGAGTGAGTGAGTGAGTGAGTGAGTGAGTGAGTTTTATGCCACACTCAGCAGTATTCCAGCTATATGGCGGCAGTCTGTAAATCATCAAGTCTGGACCAGACAATCCAGTGATGAACAGCAAGAGCATTGATCTACGCAATTGGGATACGATGACATGTGACAACCAAGTCAGCAAGTCTGACCACCCGATCCTTACGACAAGCATTGGTTACTGAAGAACAATTCTAACCCTGATCTCCACGGGTGATGAAAGGGTGGTTAGTTTGGTCTTTCTCTTTGTTTCACTATAAAAAGTATTCTGATGTTTTTCTCTTGCACTTACCCTTTTCATATTTCAAAACACTCTTTACTTTTGGCTTCAACGGAAACAAAGGAGGGGTGTTTTGATTCTAACTCCGTCTATGAGGGAGGTACAGGTGAATTAGTTGGTTCAGTTGTCCGAGGCACAATTATATGCATTTATTGCATGTTACAATTTTCATCTGTCAGTGAAAGATATGATATGTAAGAATTATAAATAATGTTGATCATAAATGAAATATTGGACAATAAAATTATGTCTTTGTTTTTCTATGAACAGTAACTTGAGGCAGTGGAAACCTATTCTGCCATCAGGTCTCTGTTGGTATAAGGCGTGTAAGGACACTAACAATCAATACCACGTGATTCTTTAGTGCACTTCGAATAAAAGCTTTCGGGAAATTCTTATGGGAAACGAATGATTAATGAGTATTAAACAAAAAGTGAAACTGTTGTGAGTCTTTTTCATGGATATAAATAAATATTATGTATTTCATGAACAGCACTGAAGGCAGTCTGGAATCAAAAACTTTAAATGAAATTTGTTGAATTTGGCTGGTGTAGATTAATCAAAATAATTGTTGATAAGAGATTTAAAATTCTTTTAATATCCTATGAGAAGCATTTAGTGCACATTTACAATAAAAGCCAATCATCCATCAGAGTGAGAAAATAACCCATCAGAGTAAATTCATCAGCAAAATGGAAACTAATAACTGTGATGAAATATGACCATCTTCAAACTTTAGCTAAATGGGAGAAAATAACCAAATCAATAGGGGAGAACTTTGAACAGCCATGTCCCTGACACAACATGGATCCTATTCTCAAGTCAGTCTGACCTTAGAGCTGGCAAGAAGTTGATAAATCACCCCCTTGCTGCCTCAACCAGACAGTCCATTCATAAAAACCACATTCCTGGGCATTGTTTAACAAGGACCCTCCTAAATATCCCATATCTCTACTGTCTGACACGGCCTTGCTGTGGATCCTGTCACTGCTGGTGTTGTAATGAGGAATTGATGGACTTATTGATAATGGACGGGTAGCCTTGTGGTTGTCTAGAGTTATTCACGTGTTGGGAATTCTTTAATCAGTGAACCAAATGGAGTTTGAAGTAAGCTTAAAATTATATCCCGCCACTGGGAGGATGTTTTTTTAAAAGGTCATGTTCTTTGTCGTAAGAGGATAAGGCGTAAATTTGATTCTATATATTTATGGGACCTCAATCTTGTTTTTGTGAGTAGTTTATGCATGGCGTGATATATCTCAGAGAGGGGCATGAGATCATATGATTAGGCACTGGTAATGGAGGTTTCTTTAAACGACCCATCCTTCTGCAAGGGATATTAACTAGCTCAAGTACCTATACTATGTAGTTTAAAATGTTTGAATTTCTATGAGCCTTTAGGATACCTTTAACGTTAACAAAACTGGCCCATGTTAGTTTGCTCATGCTATTATTCCATCATTGCTTCTGATAAGGTCAGAGACAAATCCTCATGACACGCAGGTCTTGTCTTCCATGTCAAGTCTCCGAGTTGTCCTCAAGGTCGTCTGTACTGTGGTAGGCAGGTCTGACTTGCAGCAGCAAACCAATGCCAATGCTTCTGCAGGGGTGGAAATAACCTATTGCCCGACGTCCGAGCCCAGTGTTTTTTACTGTCGGGCAAGCAAATTTGAATATCACACTGTACCGGTGTCCAGTTGACTTTCCAATGTTAATTATGTTGTTTATTTTAAAAAATCAACAAGAAAACGGCCGGTATAGTGGGAAAATTATCAGGTCAAGTGATTTTATATGTGCCACTGTACCGGAGTACACTAGCAATTTTAAAGTTATTTCCACCCCTGTTCTGATATTTATATATCAGTTGTATATTGGTTCATCTGATGTTTTCAGATGTTTCACAAAGTTAGAATAGATCCCTTGTAACTATGTAAGTGTTGATTAGAGGATTAGGTGGTCTAGCTGAGTGACCTAAAGGTTTGGATGGTTGGTCATAATATCAATCACTGAATTGCCTGGACATATGTGATTATTTACCTGATGACTTCTGTCAACTTGTATGTCTATGAAGGCAGAATTATGATGATTAAGCAAGACAACCAGCTGTCATGGGCATAAACCAAGAAAAGGACATCCATCTTATCAAATGCCTTAATTGGAAATTTTAACCATGATGACATTGAAATAATGTTTTCTGTAAAAGTTCAACTGCGCCCTGTGGCCAAGTGCATCATGTATTTTGAGCAAGAGTAAAGTGCCCCTAGACTTCTGAAGGGTAGGTTCTGGGTTCTGATCAATGGTAAAGAACTATTTAGTACACCTTGTAAAGAATGCTGAAGTACAGCTTGTGTTCTGAGCAGTGATCAAGTGCACCCTGAGTTCTTTGCAGTGATTATGTACACCATGTGTTCTGAGCCATGGTCAGCTGTGCCCTATGTTCAAACAAATGGTCAACTGCACCTTGTGTGTTTTGTGCCGGGGTCAGACAGAAAGTTCTGCATCATGTGAGGACTGTCTGAACTGATGAATTTCTTACTAGACAGGTCCTGATGACCATCGGACAGTGTGTTTTTCTAAGGACTATTTGAGGAGCTTAATGTCATTGGATTCAGTGATTGATTAGTTAATCATGGTAATTTAATTGGTAACTATCAGTGATGTGATTAGTTCTGGTAATGTATTGCAGGGCGTCAGACAATGACGGAGAGTTCTTGCTAATAGAGGCTGCTGAAGCTCTGCCAAAATGGCTGACACCAGAGACGTCCGACAACAGGGTAGGTGTGCTGTGTGATGGTACATGTTGAAAATAAAGGACATATAGTTAATGTTTAATTGATGGACATATTTGTGAGCATAAGTTCTTGATTTGAATGAAAAAAAAGATGAGTATCATATAACAGTTGTTATTGTTCAATCAAGGGGAATGTGTCAGTGTATTGTAGAAATTATACTGTCTCTATTGATAAATGAGGTAATGTAGATACTAGTAGCTTTACATACAGGAGTCTGATTAGTTGGGGCGGTGGGGTAGCCTAGTGGTTAAAGTATTTGCTCGTCATCCTCAAGACCAGAGTTCATTTCCCCACATGGGTACGATGTATGAATCCCATTTCTGGAGTCTCCCCACCGTGACATGGCTGGAATATTGCTACAAGAAGCATGAAACTAAACTTGCTCACTCACTTGATTAGGTTTTCAGACTTCTCATGGAAATAGAATGTATTCACTGCATTCATCTTGACATTATCCAGATGTAGCACTGCCATATATATATATATTTATTGTACCATGTGTGGAGTATGCTCTTACATAAGAGAGCTTTTTCAAGTAGGGACAATGAGGCATTGTTAATCATGACATCATTTCTGGAGATTTGAACAAATGCCAGCTGTTTGATGACATAAACTGGATAACCTGATGTTTTAGAGGATAGTACACAGTCACCTTATTGTTTTGTCCACTCGATTGCAGAAGGAAAGATACAGATTGGCATTGAGAATTGTGAAAATATTCTGGAAAATATGAAACTTAATCCTCCTGTTTATAAAATAGTCATGTCTGAAAATGGCCAGGTCAGATTGTATCCAGGGTCATAAGTTTACATCCTTAAAGAGGCTGCGGTTTATTGTATTCTTCATTGTGTATTTCTTCATCACAACATTGTACTTTCTTCCAGGTGTACATCTATCAGGGAGATATACACATTATACCTATCCCACAAACCCCAGCCGAGATGATGGAGCTCCCGCTGTTTGCTCCAGACATCCCGGACGGTGTCAAGTGTATACGTGAACACACCAGCCTCACTCGGGCATCACCGCAGATACAGCGATACATCTTCTCACGGCTCAGCTGGTCAGTATGACGATATTCATATTTATGTCTGTATGAAATCAGTTAATTGGTTACCTGTGAATAGAACATTTTAGATGTGTGAGTGCCCTTATAGGCAGCATAAGAACTGAAAACACTCCAGAGAATTTTATCTCCCATCTCTTGTTTATACCTTTAAATGTCTAGAGCATCCAGTGTGTAGATTCATATTCTGTTACCTGTAGAGGTGTTTTGCAGTGATGTAACATGTTGATGTACAAAGTTGTGTATATTTTCTGCACATGGTAACATTTCATTTCAGCTTCCCTGAAAAAATTAAAGAAAATGTCCATCGCGCCAACTGCTACATCCCAGCGAAACTGGTACCGGTGTTACGGCGAAATCCTGCCCTGATTGCGCCTGCCGTGCATGCCTTCTACTACCGAGACCCTATAGACCTACAGGTAGTTGTCAGTTGATATAGCTCAGTAGAAATGTTGTAAACATGCCACAGCAAGACTCTTAATAGTCTTCAGTTAATTTCTGTGAAAAAATAGTAAACTGATAATGATAAGACAGTTCAACTGGAAATCCCTATGCTGACACTCTCATATAGCTACCGCCTTGTAGAAGCTGTCTCATCTCAACAACCAGGGGTGGATAACTCTTATTTCCATTTTCTGCCACTGACAGCGCTTGACATTTTATCGGTGCTTCAAACAATTGCTGCCACTGGTAGTTGCTACAAATAAACTAACAATGATCTATTGCCACATTTGGAGGCAAGTGTTCTTGCATAAATTAATTTCTATGAAGACTTTTGCCAGACAGTTCCAAATATCATTTGTAGGTGTTTCATTGTTCCATTCGGAAGTTCCTCTCATTGAAGTAATTAACAATTATATTGACTGATTGTAAAATATGGAAAGTCTGTGCATTCATGTAAAAATTTGCTTTAATTTTGTGAAATTGTTTTAATACAGGCTTGTAGAACGATGCAGATATTTTCGCCGACTGATCAAGTTCTATCACGGGTAAGGAATTGTCATCTCTTTAATGTCTAATTTCCTTCATCTGTTCTTCTCTATACTGGAACCACTCACTCTATATCTATACTCAACTCTATGCTCAACAAGTTCCCATTGCATGTGTAGTTTGATTATTCCTGAATTACCCTTTAACTGACAATCTTCCATGCTTTTCCATTTTGGTTTTTCATTTTTATATCCAGCTTCAGTTTTAACCAAAATAACCCTGTCTCGATTATCTCCCTTTGTCTTCCAATGTTTTCTGTAGAGAAATCAACAGTAACAGAAATATTGTTCAAATTTCATGAAACCCAACACTGCACTCTAGCAATAACCAAAACAGCCATTAACATTAGTTGGTTGTAAGGGGGATAACTCCATTATTACATATGCCACCCACTAGTAACAGACCATGTGTTGTGTGTGCAGGTGAAGTTGACTCGCTGCCTGTATGCCCAGCTAATGCACCAGCAGTTCACCCCGGACAAGAGGAGCGGATACACATTGCCCACCACATCCAATCCCAAATTCCAGTCACATGACCTGGGCGTGAAACTGGTCAGTCTCTCTTTGTTGTATGTTGTTGAATGAGTCGGAGATTATTTCACTAAACCAGTGGGATATTCTGCAATGTGTGGTCAGTATGGACTGGCATGAAGATCATAGTTGTGATCTTCACCATGATCAAGTTAGCTTGTGATCTGTTACAATATTGAAATGGCCATGGCCTAACTGACTGAATTACCATGACAACCATTTATCACCTTTTGCACTAAGCTTCAAGTCTTTTTGCAGGAATATCAAAACCTGAAAGATAAATTCTCACCTATGATTAATCTCAGTACATAAGATCTGATTAAAGTATTGCACTTCTTGATGGAAGACTGCAGAGTTACCTCCCTTAACTGTGGAAGCAACCTATGATCATCAATTCACCCTGAGTTTGTTCTGTGTTTGTCACACCACATACCATGCAGGTTTACTTCAGCAAACAGCAGCCTGCATCCATGTATCAGCTGACTTGCTGACATGACTGAAATACCATTCAAAGTTGCATTAAACCTGATTCCTCACTTGTTCAGCAATGTTTTAGTTGATCATCTGGTCAGTCAACAACTCCCTTGTTTGTTCCAGGCTCATGGCTTTGAGATCCTGTGTACCAAGTGTTCCAGTGGTCCTCGTATGGGTGTCAATGGTCACTCAGCTCCATCTGACCGGGATGTACGATGGCAGAGGTACCTCAAGTCACTCAACATGAGTGGGTATTTCAGGGTAGGTGAAAGTTGGACTCACCCTTGACAGCATTGTACATATCCTCTATTTGTTACCTTGGGATGACACTGCTTCACACTTTCCCAGACATATAGACTTGCTTCATACTTTCACAGAAACAAAGGCTTGTGTGAGACTTACCCTGAGATAAGGACTTGCTTCACACTTCCGAGAAATAAAGACTTCCTAATAAGATATGTCAGTATCTAGGTTATTTATTGCAATGTACTGTCTATGTACTCCTCTGTGTCCTAATTGCCATGTATCATCTTAAAACTTAGTTCAGTAGAACGTCCTTGCTAGATATATATGTTGTAAGTTATGTAGCTGTTTTGACTGAGCTCTTTCCCTCCAGGATGAGGTGACAGGGTCCAAGTTGTATACAGAGTTGCTTGCGGAGGCTCGGAAGTTCTACATGGAACAGCTGCAGATCAGCAACAGGTAAGACAGGATGAAGATAGCATGGATGAACGTGTGGAGTACAACAGTATTGAAGTGGCAGAACATGGAAATTATAGCATATAGGGAAAGTAACATTTACAGATAGGGTATGCATGTCTGGTGAATAGAAGCAATTAGAAATCATCATTATTCACATATGGTTTGGTAAAATTTGAGTTCAATGTTCCAGAAGAAATATGAAACTAGTACTTTTTGAAAGAGGTAATTGTTTTGCAGAACTGAAGTCCACTGTCACTCTATTAAACAACCCTTTCCAGTTTCAATTTCATTTCTTAGAACACAACTGTTATCAATTTGCTCATCACTGGGCAAATTGTATTCAATATCTTGGTACCCAAATGCTATGTTTGACTAATACACCAAGTTGAATATGTTTTATGTTCAAACTTACACTGCTCCCTGGTATAGATAGGTGCCAGATAACTGATGCAGTTACAGACAATCATTCCCCAATTCCTTCTTAAGCTGCTCCTCCTGTTCACCCAGTCATGTTGTGTGTTGTCAGTGGTTCCTTCAGGGCAAGCCCTGGGGAGGAGGTGCTGGACCTGGTGGGCAGTACCAGCTATGACCTGGATAGTCTTCGTAGACAGGAGAAAACGCTGCCCGCACCTGATGGTAAGGAGTCATGCCCTGGTAATGGGAATAGTCAGCGATGCAGTTTGTGAAGTCTGTTAATGAGAATTGCACCAGTTTTTAGGTTAAATTCTTTTGCTTCAAAATAATTGTCCATTGACCAAGATTTATTCTTGTAAGCTAAAAAACATATCAGTTACATGTAGAAGTTTTTCAACAAGGACACAGGTTATAAATTAGCCTCACTGGACGTATCATCCAACATCATCATCACCACCATCATCATCACCACCACCACCACCACCATCATCATCATCATCATCATCATCATCATCATCATCATCATCAAATTATTACTTCTCTTTTATTCAGATGACAGCTGGTTGAACCTGACCCCAGAGTCTCTGGATGAGATCCTGAAGAAAGCATCAGGGAGGTCCGACCCAGACGCCTTCGACATGAGCAAGGTGGCAGACTCCATGAAGACATTTGTAGGCCATGTATCCGGCGTAGATGGAGCAGAGTTTCCACAGTAAGTGAGACAGAGTTCTCCTGTTAGTCTGCTTTAACACTGTTTGTGATGTTGGCAGTTGGTTGGGCTGGTGTTTACATTATTCTCCTGTCACCCTGAACCCCAGGGTTTGATTCCATTACTCCGTCACATACATCTACATAGCTCTTCTGGGTTGTTATTTTGAGCTGATGTGAAGATAGCTACGCTTTATATTGTATAATTGGGAAATTAATGATATTTATCTATTGTTGATTATATACTTCATTGTATTATGAATTATTTGCATGTAGGACTCCCTTTTTGTTCCTGCTCTCAGTAGTTCCATGTGTTCCAGTGTTTATTTATATTGTTTACAGAGAGTCGGAAGAGGGAGAGATACAGTTTGAGAGCACAGGCTTCATCCATGCCATGCAGAAAATGTTTGGTGAGTAAAACACCACGTGTCATACATTGGAAAGATTCACATGAAACAATGTGGGAGTAGGCTTGTGGTTAAGGCATTTAATCCGTATTCTTTACGAAGGTACAATTGGTGAAGCCCATGTATTTTCTGGTTGCCCTGCTGTGATATTGCTGTAATATTGTTAAAAGTGGCATAAAATGATAACAGTTTGATCACCTACATCAGTAAAACACATCTTGATCTGTAGCATTGAGTGTCTGTTCCCAGAAATAGAACCCTCAGCTTCATCTTGTCATGCTTGTCTTACAATGGTGTAGTTCAGTTACATTACTCTGTGTCATGACTTAACAAGGTCAGATCTAATTAGATCTTCACAAACTGGTGTTATTATTTCTCTTAATGTCACGTGAAATCTAGAATTGGAATACACAGTAACATCCCTTGCTGTACTAGGATGTGCTAAATCTGGGTTCAGGTCCCATATTTGCCCTTTTATGAGTTTTGGTCCTGGGTCCGGGTTTTCCTCAATGTGTTTAACATCTATGATCATCAGATTTTCTTCTATTTTAAGTTGACACTCCAGGAAGTAAGTGAAATCCTGTTCATAATGATGTTGGGGCGGTGGGGTAGCCTAGTGGTCAAAGTGTTGGCTTGTCACGCCGAAGACCCGGGTTTGAATCCCCACATGGGTACAATGTGTGAAGCCCATTTCTGGTGTCCCCCGCCGTGATGTTGCTGGAATATTGCTAAAAGCGGCGTAAAACCAAACTCAGTCAGTCAATTAGTCATAATGATGTTGAGCCCAAGTCTCTCTTTCTTCAAATAACAACAAATCCTCTTTCATATTTTACCTCCTTTTTCAATTGATCTACACTCTCAACATGCTCCTGAAGGCACAGGCATGTTAATGATTATGATTATATTTTTGTCCAGAATTCAATGATGATGATGATGCATCCAGCTCTGATATGAGTGAATACGATTGGGATGACAGTGATGATGATCTCGATTCACCGCCTAAGCACTCTCCATCCAAGAGGCCCCAGAGGAAGAAGTCCCCCAAGAAAACTGCTCCGCGGCCAGATCCCAAGATACAGAGTGTGATGGAAATGATGGATAGCGAGCTTGCACAGACCAACGTTGGGAAGAGCTTTGAGAGAGAAACAGTAAAACAGGTGTGTGTGGTCAGACTGCACTCTTTTTTGCAAACAGATCCCATTGGATTCTTAAGCAGGATGGGTCCCTAATCCCCATCGGGATTTCAGAACAGAATAGGTCCACAATGTTCAACACCTGTCTCCCCATGGGGACTTTCAGGCTGATCCCAAATACTCAAATCTTGTCTCTCCTGTGGAGATTTCCATGCTGAATAGGTCCCCAGTATTCCATGCTTGTTTCTCAAGGGGATTTCCTAGTGTCCCAGCCTTTTGTTACACTTGGCTGATTGGTATTTATATGTGATGATAACTAGATTATCACATACTGTAGCATAAGACAGCTGTTACTTAATCAAGTTTTTCACATATTGATGGATAAAGATGGTAGTAGATTATTTAACTATCTTGTGTAAACACAAGTCAGCTCTATCCTACAATAAAACATGCTGTATGAAGGATATCAAATGTCCAGAATGATGGATTTCTGATTTGTTTTGTTTTTTAGATAACTTAATTCCATCAAATATTATATTCTGTATACTTTCAGAATGGGAATACCAAACCAAAACCACAGCGTCCAAAACAGCCACCACCACCGCGCCCTTCACTTTCACATTCTTCCCGACCTTCACCCCCAGCTAGACCTTCACCTCCAGCTCGACCTTCACCCCCACCGCGACCATCACAACGACCTCCCCAGCGCCCACCACCAAGGCCTAACAACACCCCGACATCCAGCCCCAGGAAGCACCAGCGAGACATTGAGGACGAAGATGATGGTTTTGTGCCTGTTAACATCAATCTGAATGTTGTCAAGAACACTTTGGAGTCCTACAGTGCCCAACAGGGGCTTCCAGGCCCTGCTTCCAACATTCTACACAGCATGGGGGTCAGACTGCCTCCTAATGCAGATGCCTTGTAATATGAAGCCTTTTAGAACACACCTGTTTTACATAATGAAGGTATCTGGTCTCTCTTGGTACAGGTGCCTTGTAATGGGAATCCTTGTAGACCACCTGCTGTTTCACATAATGAAGGTATCAAGTCATCTTGTAGAGATGCCTTGTAATGGGAATCCTTCTACAACTCCTGCTGTTTCACATAATGAAAGGTGTGTCTGTTTTCTTAGTACAGATATCTTGTGATGTTAAGGACGTTAGGTTCTGGGCCCAACAGATATCTTGTGATGTTAAGGACGTTAGGTTCTGGGCCCAACATTATACCCAGGGTCAAACTGTCCCCAGTTTGATGCCTTGTCATAACATGGTAGGGATGTGAAGTATCTTTCTCCCAGTGTTTATATTCATTCAAGGGTAGGGAGTCTCATGACCTTGATGCTGAGTCCTTGTCATGGGAATTTAAGATTGTTTGGTCTCTTAATGTTCTACACAGTAGAGTGTTCATTACTCTCGGTGCCAAATGACTTCCGGGTATGTTGAAAACATCAGAGTCAATCTGGTCGTCAGAGACACAAGGTGACAGAGTTACTGAGCCAGGGCTAGTAAATATCCCCAGTGTATACAATTGTTACAACACACTTTACATGGATCACTACATGTTATTCAGTGATTATACCACTCCTTTCGCATGTAGACCAGCATCTTGGTAGGCACCTTATACAGTAAAACCTCAGTAGTCTGAACGCTTTTGTACAAGGACCCTCGTTTTGTTGACAATTACAGTTAGAAATTCAATGATTGACTAGCTGACCACCTGATGTATTTACTTACCTCCTTATGACATTCATGAGCTGCTGGGGACCTGTATTCGCACCCAGAATACTATCAGAAATGGAAAAAGCAAACACATTATTCTTTACCAATTGTTTGATAAACCAGATGAATTCTTTATAAACATTAGTCTGGATTACTGAGGCTTTTCTATATATGACAACACAGCACTTGTATATATATCTTGAATCATCTGTTGCCCATGTTTGAAAGTATGCTGTGAGCACACAGACCAACTACCTCCCTCACTGAAGATCTCCTGGTAGATGCCGCTACAGTGTATAATAGCCCAGTTACTACAGTGTATTATAGCCCAGTTACTACAGTGTATAATAGCCCAGTTACTACAGTGTGTAATAGCCCAGTTGCTCTGGGTGAGTCTATAGTATTAGTTGTTATCCAGCCTGATTCTGCTGTGCACCTGCAAACATGGCTAGTAGTTGTGAACAGCTAGTATTGGTATGATTACGCCACTTATTGCTAAGCAGGAATTGGCTCTGTTTATTTAAGATGTAATGCATTACAAATATACTCTATCTGCAGCAGTAGCATTAAGCCATTATGTCAGAGGGTTCTACTGTTTCAGTCCTTGTGCCTGTTGTGTGATCAGGTTTATGTCAACTCAGTGAAGGATACGTAGGTTTGTGCTGCCTCGCTGACAGGGTTGTGTCTGACTGGTGTGGGACAGATATTGTCATATATGAGAAGAGGATTTTTCTGTTATGTTTCAAAGGATCTTGCATATACTACTCAAAATATGATAAGAACTCACTACATTTTCAAAAAAACTGTTATTGTATGAAAGAGTACCCAGGATTGTATGAACAAATTGTATGTTTTTTTTAACTTCATTAGAGTAGTAGACCTGTGGAGGGGGATTTGTTGCTTGCACTGTAAGTTCAGTAAAAACAGATTAGATTTTGCAAGCTTTTGAAGCAAGTTTCTGTTTTGAATAATTCATGTTATACTTGGAATTATGTAAAAATATCATGCATTAAAACAAAATACAGTTCCAACTGAATCATGTACAAATATTGCAGGAAGTGTCTGTTGTTACATGTCTTTAACATTTGCTATGATTGCAGTTGGTAGGTCCTTAATCCTACCACTACCTGTGTGTAGCACCTTGCATAGTTGAAACATACAGGGTGGTGGGGTAGCCTAGTGGTTAAAACATGCGCTCGTCACGCTGAAGACCCGGGTTTGATTCCCCACATAGGTACAATGTGTGAAGCCGATTTGTGGTGTTCCCCGCTGTGATATTGCTGGAATATGCTAAAAGCGGCATAAACTCATACTCACACACTCACATACAAAAATGAACAGACTGTTGATGTGGGCAGGTAGTTACACTACATAATCATTGTGTTATGTATATTGAACTGATTTGAATGGCCCTGTTGAATATAAGGATGTCTGGTGTTCAAGGTTGTGTTATTTGCTATTTATGATGATGTGTACAATATTTTTGTAAGCCTAATTTTGCCTAATATTTTGTCACACTTTTGCTATCACAAGTATTGTTTGTTATTTCATCCACATTGATTGCATTTCAAATACTTCAATATAGTCAATGATAAACCTGATAGGATGTCGCCAAAACATGTCATTTTAAACTGTTAAATTTAACAGTGAAATACCAAAGGGATTCAAGTACATATTTCATTCAGGTATTCTGGTGCTTAATGTTTTATGTACAATAAAAAATATTCTGAACTAATAATCAAACTCTAGTGTCACAAGTTTACACGTAATTGTAATTTATAGTCATTTTACAAAGGTTATATTTAGTGATATTAACACCAATCCACATCATCATGTTGCCAGTAGCTACATGACCTATATATAGGTTGTAGGCAGATGTTCATTCAGTGCTCAAGTCATAATAGACACTGTAGAAGGTGGCGTCCATGACTGATTCAAGTATTAGACGAGAGATTTAAAAAAGCAACAATTCTCTGCTTTCAGAGTCCATGCAGTGCCAAATGCTGTAAGGGAAATATTAAGAACTGTTGCAGATCTCAGATTTGCTTATACCATTTGTTTGCACAGTATTTTTATGTTAGTTTAAGAGCTGCCATTTTCCGCTTGTACCACTGTTTTGTGAAAGGTGAGTTAGTACCAAGAGTTGCCTCTGTGCTGTTTGTACCTGTATTTCTATGTGCTGTGAAAGTTGAGTTCGCACTGAAAAGTAAGAGCAATTGTTTCTCATGCAATATCATTTAAACAAATTGTTTGTCAAACAGATTTAAGTTTCAAAAAGAGTGCCATCTGAATGTTAGACTATACTTTTCTTCTGTTTTTCAAAATGACTGCTGCCGTTTGAGACTGTTTTACTATGGGTTGATGTGTCCAAGATCCAAACTGACCCTAGTTTACTATATAACATACACAGAGTGTTGTGGTTATTTGTTATTGTCACAGTCTCGGTGGTCATATGATTAAGACAATATAGTCAGCTTATGTAGATACAAGCAGATTATATGCAGAAGGCTAGTGTATGTTTACTGACTACATACATGTGTATCCCAAAAAAAACATTACATAATGATGTCAGTATTTTGGCAGAGTTTTTGTTTCAAATAAAGCAAAGAAAACATGAGTATGTTGTCATGGAGATATGTTCGATCATCGCAACATAAAAATGTATTTTATACATTTGTGTCATTTGATCATTTTGTTTGAGTATTTTATATTGTTTATTCCTTTTTTATAGAAATTTGTATTAATGTTGTATTGGCTTTGAAATGTTTATATTTTGTTACTTTTTGAAAACTGAATCATTTTTGGTGACTGTTACCAAAACATGGTCAGCATTTTGTCAAGTTTGTCATAAGATTCTCGCTTTGTAACTTCTGTTTGAATGTTGATGTATCATGTAAGCAAGATTGACTAGAAGTGTGAGCATTGTTGAAATGTACACTAAGGAAGGGATTGTTTATACTGCTTGGTAAGTCATGTGCCATTTGTATATTCAAAACAATGTTGATTTATGAAAATTGTCATGAATATTAAGGTAGCTGTTAAATTTGGTGCTGTATTTATGGAAACAATTATCAAAATAATATCTGGTGTAGTCACAAACGATGTTGTATTGTTCTGAAATTTGGCATCCTGTATCAAATTTACCAAAAAGAGTTATGTCCCTTTGTGCGAACTCTCCATTTACCATCAATCCACTTTGAGAAATAACATACATGTATATGTGTTTGATCTCATTCCCTTTGATAACTGTATACTCTTTGGAAAAATAGGTTTCAGAATAGTGTATTTGATGTGTATATCTATGAAGCAATTGTGTGGATGGTTTAAGATACGTGTATGTTTGGATTTTTATTGGCTGAGGTAGTGCAGATAGTTTTTTTGAATAATTACTTAGTCTTGGATGAGGAATCGTATAATCAGAGAACTACAAATACTGTCTTACTGATCAGTGTGGATACGGTTGATTATGTTGTAATTTTGATGCCAGATTTCTTGTGGGAATGGACACTTTCGTTTGATTGGTTGGTTGGTTCACCGTAACTGACCAATGGTATAGGGTGGTTTTCTTACCGAAGTGGAACAGATCATGTTTATAATGTAACACATAATTTCTCCACCACGTTGTGTGACACGGCAGCAAGGATATATAGCATAAGGTTGTGAACATCCAGGTCAACAACATGTTTAACATCCCACGTAGCAGAACATCTTATAGTTCTTTTGCTACTTCTAGCATACTCTGATCACATGCAGGAGAATTCTAGCATACTCTGTGGAGATTCAGACGTTTATCTCTTGTCATAATGCTGACTTTGGTATTTTGATGCCTAAAAATGTCACAGATTCGGAAGAATGAATGAAACATTTTGTGTATCTTCAGTTTGTTGTTGACCCTGTTTTTTGACATTATGGCCGACACAGTGTATATTTTGTGTATGTGTAATGGCCGACATTGTATATCCTTTATAATGCCCAACACTTTGTATATTTGTAATGTGTGTTATGGTCGACACTGTATATTCCTGTAGTGTTCAGCCCTCTAGTCTTCCTCATGTTAGACATTCCTTGCTCAAATAGCAGTGGGGCTTTTCTCCGCCATGCACTTGTACCACTGAATCATGCGTACCACTGAATCATGTGTATCACTGAATCATGTGTATCACTGAATCATACCTAGCAGCTTTGTACTCACACTAAGCGCATGCATGTACCTTTGAATCATGTGCTTGTACACTGAATCACCCCTTGTTCCCACTTTCAGTGTACTGTTGAATCATAGAATCAAGATTCACTGAATCATGTGTGTTTATCATAAATGTACCAGTAATTGGTAACTACAGATTCGAAGAATGAATGAAACATTTTGTGTATCTTCAGTTTGTTGTTGACCCTGTTTTTGACATTATGGCCGACACAGTGTATATTTTGTGTATGTGTAATGGCCGACATTGTATATCCTTTATAATGCCCAACACTTTGTATATTTGTAATGTGTGTTATGGTCGACACTGTATATTCCTGTAGTGTTCAGCCCTCTAGTCTTCCTCATGTTAGACATTCCTTGCTCAAATAGCAGTGGGGCTTTTCTCCGCCATGCACTTGTACCACTGAATCATGCGTACCACTGAATCATGTGTATCACTGAATCATGTGTATCACTGAATCATACCTAGCAGCTTTGTACTCACACTAAGCGCATGCATGTACCTTTGAATCATGTGCTTGTACACTGAATCACCCCTTGTTCCCACTTTCAGTGTACTGTTGAATCATAGAATCAAGATTCACTGAATCATGTGTGTTTATCATAAATGTACCAGTAATTGGTAACTTTGAACCTCCACACAGATATAGGAAGACAAATGCTTATTCTTTGAATATATGTATAGTCAGTTTTGATTTTAACAAATAAACCCATTTTGAAAAGGAGCCCCAGGGAGGCCAGAGATTCAGAACCTGGGGAAATCTAGACTGGCTTCATTTAGGGCATTAGCATTGCAGGGAGGGCAGTAGAGAAAATATTCTGGTTCAGGGACAGACTAAGACAGAAGTGCAGGTTACTCTGCCGGACGGGAACTTATTCTCACAATTATGGTGTTAATGTGGCGGGGAGGGGGTGGCGGAATTATGGATGCACACAATATTTCAAAATACATTCTTACTCCTTCGTCAGGTGAATGAATTTGTAGATGTAATCTTGAGTAATATCAGGTGCATGTTCTGGAGTATTTCCTTACTCCTTCATCAGGTCATTCCTTAACACTGTGTTCCTTATCATACAGATGTAGACATCCATAAGTTCCCCCACACCAGGGTTTTACATGACGCGGGATTCCTGCGTACTTGACGCAACAGTTTTGTTAAAGACTCTCAAAATATTATCGTACGAGTCAAGCTTGACGCAAGTTTTATAAGTGACCCTCAGAATTCAGTTCAGTGTCAATAAAATCGATTTGATAGCAACAATGATAGTTTTTGTGAGGTCTTCAATAATTTAGATATTTCTTTCAATTCATGCTACTAAATACAGTGAATAAATCACAAGCCTGATTATTTGTTCAGTATACTGGAGTTTGTTATGACTAACCTAAACTGTGAAAAATATACTGTTTATTAACTAACATATAAATGACAATACAACACAAAACAATAAACTCTTTGCAAAACTCTTGCTTTTTTATATACACACACAAGTATTACGCTAAAATTTTCACGACTCCCAAATATTGAAAATGACTGCCAAAAATAAATACTGTGTATTAAATACAGGCAATACACCATGACTCTCTTTTTTCAAAGTTTGTATAAAACCCTGCCACACTGTATCATTTTTAAATGCCACTGAAAATTTTAATGATGGTATTATTCAACTGATACAGTTTGTCTGCCATATGCTTTCAAATTGTTGCAACATGTTTTCACGTCTTTTTAGCACATGAGGTGACATGAATCGCTGCCAGCATCTATGTTTTATATTCAGTGTACACTTGCTATATAGAATCATGTATTCTGTAACAAACTTACTCACTACTAAATGTATTATGCATGTACCCTTGAATCATGTTACTGTACAACTATGTCATTGTATTCAAATTTAAGTGTACTTGATAATATAATGTTCTTGTCACTGAATGGTTTCTAGCATTGTGTTCCACTGCTGATGTATACATGTACCACTGTATCTAGTACTTGTACCACTGTATCTAGTACTTGTACCACTGTATCTTGTTCTTGAACCACTGTATCTTGTTCTTGTATCACGGAATGACTTCATTGAAAGTCATTGCATTCTGTATGACTGAATCACTCCAGTCATCTGATGAACTGCTATTCACTGTGCAGACTTGACTTGCCAGAAACCTTTAAATGTTGGTTTGAATCTGGTATTCACCCTGATTAGGTCTTGATTTGTCTGCACTATACACATGTCCATGGTTTCCACCAGGGTTTTAACACCTTAG